GGGGGGGGGGGGGGGGTCCATAAGATTGATTTAATCAATTATTTGAGGTTTCTGAGGTGCGTCCACCCCGTCACTTAACTTGCTAAAGCAAGAGCAACTCCAGCTAGCTAAGGCTAGCTTTCGTGACAAATTGAACAAAAGCCAATAGATCCACACAAACAAACCTGTTAGCTGTGAGGGGGTTGCTGGTGAGACATACCCCGGTCAGAGATGATTTTTTTGAATCCTTGTAGTTCCTGTGAACTGTTTGCGGATAGCAAACGATGAACACACATTATTGTTCAAAGGTATTTTTTTGCGAAAGTCAAAAGTCAAAACATATTTTGCCGGTTTTGTTGTGGAGCACTTTGGGTGGCATTGGACAAGCCAAAAGCCAGAAGCAAGCCAAGAGCCAGAAGCCAAAAGCCAAAAGCAAGAAGCAAGCCAAAAGCCAGAAGCCAAAAGCCAGAAGCCAAAAGCCAAAAGCCAGAAGCCAAAAGCCAGAAGCCAGAAGCCCGAAGCCAAAAAAAAAAAAAATTGCCCTCCTTTTTTGAATCCAACTCACTGGAGACCCGAGATCGCTCGCGATCTTGCGCCCGTTGTGGCTCCGTGCTGGCGGCGGTAACCGTTGCCGTGCAAGAGGCCCGGTGAAGGTCCAATGAGTGGTGGAAGCCTTAGGGAAGCAGTGCGGCTTAGTTTGCAGGCGCGAAGCCAGCTCCAAGTTCCAAGATTGGACCCTTCAAAAACATCGGAATCAACTGCGTGTTTGTGAAACGACATCCTTTAAATGATTTCTGTGCCACCTAGTCACCTAGTCCAGGATGCTTGCAAACACAACACTGTCAACGGGATTAGAAACAACAAAAATATTGCAACGCTCTCGCAAATTCCAAAACATTCAAGTAAAGAAATCAAAGGGCCCAGTTTGTCAAATTTGCGGAACGCCATGTGAATCTGCAACCCCCGATGACCAGTTGAATGAAACCATCAAAACAAAAGAATGTATAAACGTCTATGGCCCAAACACACGCAAAGCTCTGCAGCTGAGGCACCAAGAAAACCGCGACCAAAGCGCGCTTCGCTGTGCCATGTTTGTTTATCCGCGGAGCCATGGTCGAAGTCTGTTGGAGTGTTTGATATGTTTTCCTTTGTTGCACCCTACACCTCAGTTCGCACCCCGAAAGGCTAAGAATGTTTCGTCCGTATGCATGTATATGTATATACTATCATGTACTTTTTGCCCGAACACCCTCGTGCAAACCAGCGAGAAATTGTGGTTTCATTGGCCAATAAAGTTCGTTGTTTGAAACAGCGCGTGATCGTGCGTGTGTTCATCGTATTTGGTGCGACATTATTGAACTGCAAAATAACTCGCGGGCACACGCCGACGGCGAGCAAGTGCACTTTGTCGTGTGCCCCTTTTTTGGCTGCCCGAATCCCATCGCAAAGCCATCGATCTGCGCAGTCGCTTGCAACATGTATCCCAACCTTCTTGTTCAAATGGTTTGTGCAAAGCCTCATTGAGAACAACACCTCTTTCAGCCCAACAGAAAAAAACCACTGTCGTCATAAATGAAAATCAAAAACGGAAACATATGAAGTTCCTTTTTTCCTAGAAAATGTTCTGAACCTGTTGAAAGAAAAGGCTCTGTCACACACAAGGTCGGTCGAACTCCAACACACACCTTCCTTTGGGATCAATGGCTTCCAGGGTCCCGCTACGACCTGGGCGCCATGAGCGGGGCCACTCCTGAATTTTCGTCAGTGCGTGCAAAGGCATTGCAACGTGCAACGTGCCGTACCATAGGCACACTGCCATGTTCTGTTGCCAAAAAACCATTGAAATTTGGTTTCGTGGTGCTGGTTGGACACTGCTGGCTGATGTCCTTTTGAGCAATGTGGAATGCCACGAGGCATGAGTCTGTTGCACCCTCAACCCAATGCCACTGGTAAGAGTCACAGCAACGGTGATGTCCCACCGCAGTCTAGCAAAAGCAAAGGTGTTGTTGATGGTCATAAATTGAAATTTTCTTTGCCAGAAGTTCCGTCAATTTGACTCAGCGGCATAAACAGATTGTTGATCTTTTCCCCAAACAGTGTGGGCGCACTGAGGGGTTCTTCGGTAAGCGCTGTTCCGCGCGGGCGTGTCCGGCCAATTCGCTGCTATTTACAGTACATTCATGCCTCTCGACATCATCCATGTGCATTTCGACTGCGCAGGCTCACAAAATCTGCCTGCCGGCCGCGGGCGCTTCTAGCGACTGCGCTCTCGTTGTGGCGCCGTGCACATTTTCGCACATGGTGGTCACTTTTCGTGGCAGGCGCAATGGAAACCTCGTGCTTTGGTGCCCAAAGTCGACTTGTCGTGACAGGTGCAAGGGATCGGAGGGGCTTTACTTCGCTTCGAAGTGCACTTTTCGTGGCAGGTGCAGCACTTTGGACATGGCGGTGATCGTCGAGGAGCTCAGATTTTGTGACAGGTGCAGTGAATCGTGACTTTCGGACATGTGGCTCGTTTGCAGATTTCGTAGCAAGCACAGCACTAGACCCTCGACGCGCAGATTTCGTGGCAGGTGCAGCACTTGGTGAACCTCGTGGCAGGCGCAGCGAAGTGCAGATTTTGTGGCAAGCACACCGCTTTGTGAACCTCCAAGCGCAGATTTCGTGGCAGGCATAGCACTTTGTGAACCTCGAAGTGCAGATTTCGTGGCAGGCACAGCACTTTGTTCTCTCACAGCCCTGCATACTCTACCATCAAGACTTGGCTGCTCGCATGGAATACAGTAATATGGTGATCGCACCCTGTGCCTTGGAAGTGTGCGTAGGGCATGTTTTGGGTGTGCGTTTTTAGACCGTATAGCCTATGCTCACTCTCTCACTTCCTCACTGTCACTCTCACTCTCACTCAGTCACTCACATTCACATTCACACTCACGCTCACTCTCCCTCTCACTCACTCACTCACTCTCTCACTCTCTCACTCTCTCACTCTCTCACTCTCACTCTCACTCTCGCTCTCGCTCTCACTCTCACTCTCACTCTCACCCACTTTCTCACTCACTCTCCCACTCTCACCTTCACTCACTCCGTTGTGCTTTGGATCCCAAACGAGTGGAAACATCTCTGGGATCCCTGCTTCTGGGGGTGGCATGCTTGTGTGTGACAGGCTGATTTGAGAGAGCTTGATGCAGCTCTCAAAAATGCAAGCGTCGCTCCTTGGTTGATTTGACTGGTGCCGAAATCACTGCCATATGGGGCTCTGCCTTCTCGCACTGTGTAAACCTGGCGCAGATCTGGTTCCCGACAAATTTGAGACGCATTGGCAAAGAAGCCTTTTTGCTCTGCAGTCAGGGTCAATAATGGAGGACCCACCATGTCTGTAGTCTGCCGCGATGTATTTTGGCTCAACGATAAGGGAGCTGCTGCACAGGGTGGCGCCTGCCATGCTTGCTGACCATATGTCTGTGTCTACCTCACAGTGGAGCGAAGAAAGGTCAATGGTCACACATTTGATCTTGACCACACTGGCGGGGGAGGAAGCCCAGCTAACAATTGAACTCCAAGAATATGACCGTCTTCAGGAATTTGAAAATGCGGTGCTGGAACAACTTCCCGAACTAGGCACAAGCAGCACTTTTTGTTGCGAGCTGGACTTTGTCTGCCGCAATTCGCAACAGAAGTTGGTCGATCCCATCTGGCAAACCCTGCGGGACTGTAATTGCTTTACGGTCGTCGTGAGCCCCTGTACAGAGAAAGCTGAACATTGCACCCGCAGGCAGACGATCATGACCAGTAGTGACAGGGTCCTGGTGACATGCTTTTGCAGCAACGTGGTTGCCCCTTTTTCTTACCATATCTTTTGGAAGGGGGCCCCCCGCTATAAGCTAGATGCAGTTGTTTTCCTGCAGATGCACTATGCCGTAACGTTTGGCTCACAGCAGGTCGTAGCGCCCTGCATGCAGGAGTGGGGTCAGCCTTAGCTGACGTCACCCTCGTCGCCTTTTCTTTCGCTCGCGCCAGTCAGTGCAACTGCCAACCTTAGCTGGCGGGAGCTGCACTCGTATTTTCGAGCAGAGCAACTCTAATGTCACATGATCCATGGATGGAGGACAGTAATTCGCTGGACCTAACTGATAGTGCGGAAGATAGAGTCCATGTGCCCTTTGCATTCACACGTGACCATGCGGATTGGCTCACAGCAGATGACCAGGCCAACTTTGCCCGGGGTACGGAGGCTAGTGTGACGCAGTCCCAGGAGGATGCTTATGCGGCGATGGCAATGCATGATACCCTCTGCAGTCCTCTCGGCCTTGATTCCGCTCGGCCTACACTCGTGTTGTCTGATGTCCGCGCGCAGCCATCCAAAAAGGACGACGGGTATGCCACTCTGGAAACAGAGGGAGACCTGCCTGATACTACTGCCATTATTCAGACACTCATGTTGCACCGAGACCTTATCATGAGCAATCAAATGATCTATCTAATAGTGGACAATCGAATGCCGACAGATGTCCCGCATTGGCCGGCTTTTGCAGCATGGTGGGCCTCACGTAGGTGCCTAGTGGGTCCCCAAGAAGAGGCAACTGACATACTTTGGGTTTGCGCAGATGCTACTACTGGCCTTCACAAGGTTCCATACTACTGGGCAGGAGTTTTTGTCCTAGAGGCAGCACGTTTCCTGTACCCTGCACAGCACTTCGCACTCATTGACAATGACTGTGTACCAGTCACGCTTTTCGAAGTGCAAGACCTACTGCAGCTGGCGCATCAGCAGCACCAGTGGGTTGACCTAATAGGGGGTGTGCGTTCTGAGTCTAGCTCCTGTGCAGGTATTGGCATGCTGCTCTTCACAGAGGCCCACTTGGAATATAATGCAGGTCTGGTTATTTCGATAGGCAACCGCAGCAAGCACAGTCCACTAGAGTATGACACGACTGCTTCGGCCCTGGCGAAGAGCCTCCAGGAAGGCCGCCTTGCCTTAGTGTCTAGAGCCAGACCACCTATCAATCCGAGCGACACAGCCATAAGTGGCACTATGTTTACCCCTTTTGTTGGGATAGCAATGCAAACCGCCCTTGACCTATGCATGGTCTGGTCCTTGTATGGACTATACATCTGCAAGCACTTTTGGCCTAGCCCCGTCATCAGCCCGGATGAACTTGGTCCTGGCGGTACAATCAAGTGGCCGCGGCAATCCCATCCAAAGGCTCTCACCCCTGAAGGGAGAGAGCGAACTCCGTGGGTCACCAGCTGGGCTCGTGCCACCTTCGAGCAGGGAATACTGTCAGTGCTCCCTATGCTAACAGGGCCATGCACAGTCACGTCATTGCCAGGTGAACACCTCTTCCAAGCCAGTGCGCTGCCACGCAACCGAATGCGACCTGCCATATTTCATGCCTTTGGCAAGGCCAAAGTTGGAGCGCAGGCTGCCTTACGAGAATTGGAGCTGCAGGGTTGGGAAACGCTGCCGATCGCGATACTCGGCATGCCTAATCTGCCCCCAGCATGGGTCATTGAGACTTGGAAACCAGTAGGTGGGTGCAAATTTACAGGCTACTTCTCCGGAGTAGCTGGGAACAGTGCTTTGCGCTTCTGCCTGCTCCTAAAGTGGCGGGCGATTCGTCCGCAAGCGACTGAACTCTTTCCAGCACAACTGCAGGGGGACAGCCTTAG